AGGCAGAGGAGGAGGCGGCCGCCCGCGCTGCAGGGCCAGGCCCAGGAACCGGCCAGGAAGAGGTGAGCCCGGTGTGAGGCCCCGTCTCCGCGCTGCCTTCCCCGTTCTCCCTCCGCTGTTCCCCTTCCTCCTCTGTGGAAAGATAGGGCTGGGGATGCTGCTTGGGGCCTAGAAGGCTGTGACCAGACAGTGGCCGCTGTGACCAGAAAGCGGCTACTGTGACAGGTAATGTGGCACGAAGGCCTCCTTTGATAAGGCAGGTGTCTTGGAAAACCTGGCAAGACTTCCTTTGGAAACTGGGTGCCCAAAGGCAGCCCTCCCTGCGCAAGCGCCCGCTGCTCTGTGCTGTAGAGGCTGATGAACCTGGCGGTCTGAGTGGGTTATAGCAGCGAGGCTCCCGCTCGAGAACGCACTGTGCGGCTATCCTGACTTCTCTTGCTCTGTTCCCTAGTGTGTTTCTGCAACCTTTATTTCTCTGGCTCTTCTTGGTGTAGCTCTAGCTGCTTCCAGCCCATATTGCACTAAATATGCACATATAGCCATATGCACACATAGCCATAGAGCCCATATGCACATATAGCCATATGGGCTCTTCCATAAATGCACTAAAACATGTAGGACAACAAAGCTGAAAGGCATGGAAGTTATTCAGGAAGCATACGGGGAGGCCTTGCAAGCAGATTTAGATGGGCTTTTTTTTTTTTTTTTAAACCTGCTATGTTCCCCGTTCAAAAACAGCCATTTCTAATCCCCACATGAGCAGGTACAGAGCTGTTTTGTTGGGAATTTCGGTCTACTCCCGGATCCAGTTTCGGTCTAACAAGCTGTTTCTTTTGCTAGAATATCTCGACGTCGGAAAAGCAGTCTCAAGCCAGTAGCCTTTGAGCAATGCTCTCAAAGAGCCCCAAATAAACAAAACCTGGAACTAACCCTGTCTGCGGCTGAGGGCGCCTCCTCATCTCAACGTGTGACAAGGTCGCAGTCCGCAGCGCTTGCCAAGTGCTCCGGAGCCCCCGTGGAGAAGCCCTCTGCGCAGCCGGCCAAAGGAAAGGTGGTTCTGGTGGAAATCGGAGTCAACGAGCGCCTCAGTGCTGAGTTACTCCTGCAGAAGAGAGCGTCTAAGCCGGGTGAGGAGGTCTCCACAACCGTCCTCCTGAGCCCCGGGGATGCTTCTCCCCAGGACAGCAGCGCTGCAGAACCGCAGCCTGAGCTTGGAGCTTCCCTTCTGGCAGCTCCTCACACCCCTAAAGCAAAAGACATAGGAGAAAGCAGCGGTGCTCTTAATTTTAAGCCAAACACAACAAGCGCAGCTAACGTCACGGTCATTATAACCGAAGAGCCTAAGGAGCAGGAGGCAGATGTTCCTGCTCAGGCACCGGAGCCTAAGGAGGACTCTGGGAAACAGCTTTCCCAGTCCATAATTGAGAGCCCGGGGACTCCGACAGGATCCAGAGTCGGCCGTCGCTCCGTGCGCAGAAGCCTCATGGGGAGACCTTCCACGATCCGCAGGACCTCCCTGGCAGAGAAATACTCGCTAGGCAGCAAAAGGCAAAGTGTGATCCGGAAATCCCTCGGCAGGGCAGCGGCCAAGAGGAGGACGTTTCAAAAGTCCTCCGCGTCCTCCGGTCCTGGGAACTGTAAGTTTAAATGTTACCTGACAAGTTTCCTTTGCGTGGTTCCTACTTGGTTGCCCTGCTGCTGGAGGGGAGTTGTGTTACGGAGCAGTTCTGCAACTGCTCTTTAAGAGGGGTATAGGGTCTTGCACAGGTGAGTGTTTTCTGGAAAGCGTGGCAGTGAATTATTTATTTATTAACTCCAAAATGTCTGCTAGCTCTAGGGCCCTTGTTTGAGAAGGAAATTCTGGGGCTAAACCATGTAAATCTCTTCCAAAAGCTTTGAAGGCTGTTCCAAGTCTCAGTAGAGACAGATACCTGAGAAGAACAGAAACAGATTTAAATGCTCTGAATCAATTAATTTAAATGGTTTATAAGTCCTTGCTGCTGGAATGCCATCGTTGGGTTGGCTGCAGGAAAATGGAGTGCTGAATATTGCCTCTCTTGAGCTGAGTGTCAGGCACAAACAAGGGGCTATTAAACAAACAAATAAGTGGCTCCTGGAAGGCAGGTGCAGGCAGGTGCTCCTGTCCTGTGCAGGGCAGGAGAGCCTGGCTCTTGTGCATGTACCTGGTTCCCAGGATAATGCAGCTGAGCAGACGCTGCTGCAATGCTTCAATCTTGAGCTTTCTTGGGTGGGATTTGTGCTGCAAGAAACTGAAGCTTCTTGGAGCATTAGCCTTGTGCAGCCAAACCTGGATATATTTGGACAAACGCTTTGATATTTTTCTTCATATCAACTCAATGATTCCATTGGGATGTCTTTCCAGAACCGTAATACTGCACTCCTGTAACTTCTCCTGTGTTGATAACAGTTCTGTGTAAGCTTCTGCCTCTGCTCCAAGAGCTCCCTAAGGAAAAATGAAGCTGTAGGGACAGAGGCACTAAAGCTTTTATCTCTGTAATATAAGCAAATCTTCGTTGTTGTGATCTGCGTTTCCCGAGAGGCTTAAGGAGGCCTTTATTCCTTCCCTCTGTTTGCAAAACCTGAAAAGATTTTCCTGCCATCTATCACCGAAAAATCTGTTTTCTTATTAAAATGGTAGGCAGGGTTTTCTCCAGTGCTGCTTAAGTTGCCCTTGTAGCAGCACGTACCTGAATTGCAAGGAGATATCAGAGACTTTGTAGAGGCGTCCTGGGTTGTGTCCTGGCCTGTCCCCGTGTTTTACAGCTTTGGCTTTTCTTTCCTCTCAGGTCTTAGCAATGGAGAGGTGCCAGGGGAGGAAGAAACAGCTGTCAAAACTGGGTGAGGCAACCTTCAGATTCCTTTAGCCTTAAAATCATGGTTGGAGGCTTTCCTAAGTGGCATTTTTCATTTAAAATGCACTGTTTACAGGTAACTATTGAACATGATTGTCATCTTTTTCTTTGTAGGCCACATTCTGGACTTTGCACCCCCTCTAAGCTGGTAAGATTTAAGCAGAAGTTAAAAGCATTTCAGCTTGTTGGACTTGCAATTAAAATGTGTTAAATGCATCTGACTGGAGGTTAGAGGAGTTCCAGGCACAGCTGAGTTCAATCACCATGGTTGTATTAAAAAAAAAAAAATAAGTTGAATAAAGAAAGTTTAGAACAGTTGGCTGCGGAGGTCTAATCTTCATTGTGTGCATGAGCCTATTTATAGCCTACCTGGTTCCATAGGCAGACTAGAGAAAGTCTGATATTGTCAAGTCAAACATGATGTTCCCAAACAAGGGATCACAATGTTCCCAAATCAGTACAACAAAAACTAGAAAAAGACTCATCTGGGAGAATGAATGAGCTCATGTGACTCGAGGCTTATTTTGGCTACAAGTTGAGGCATCTTGTCTTACCTGAGACACTGCAGAGCTAAGGCTAGCTGAAATTAGACAATAACATGCTCTTCCTCATCTTATAGACACGTATAAATATATACATTCCAGGAAAATAATTGATACATAACAACACCAAATTCCGGCCTTGGTGTTGCTGGTATTAAGAACAGGGACCTGTTTCTGGCTCTTGCTAGAGATAAGCTGCATGAAAATTCAGTGCCGAATCCTTATCCACACAGATAAATAATCTTGACATTTAAAAAAGCGTTTGAGTTGTGCACAGTTTGGACGCTATTACAGTCTTGGTATTTCAAAAGCTTTTTTTGACCTTTTCATTAGCTCTGCAAATTATATAGAGCTTGTCAGTTTGTGTTACAGTGACCACAGAAATCTGCAAATATTGTTGAAGCCAAAACATCTTCCTCCAGAATTCTCCCTGGCCTCATGAGGAAGATTGTCAGGATTCTGTCAGCATTTCATGCAGAATCACATTAATTCTGACTTTGGTTATTGAAAGTGATGGAGCTCTATGGCCTTAGTACTTCTGTGAGGAAGGACAAGCTTAGGTGTAATTTCTTCAGCTGTGCTTTTCACCACCCACAATCGTTCAAGTAAGTGTAGTTCTGGTGGCCATGGATTTTAAATGCTCACCTGAGTTGTGGCTGTGGAAAGGCTTGAAGTGAGCATGTTATGTGGGAGGGGAAATCTCTGCAGATATGTGAATAGATTTTTTTTTTCTCTATTCAAATGCGTTTATAGATGCAGTCTTGTGGCACACTGCTACCCTGGGCCACCAGGTTTACCTTATCCCATCCCTCAGTGGTTTTCTAAGGTCTGATACCCAAATTATTCAGCTCATGTGCTTCTGTTGGCCTGCAAGATGCTTTCTACAGTTATGCTATACTTAGTATGAGCCTCTGCTTTGGATGAGATTCTCTGTCCTTTGCAGCTGCTGCTTTAGTTTCCCCTTTTCTCCTTCCCACTCCTTTGTAGCTGCCAGCCTACCTGCGTGTCCATTTGTCCTTGTTAGTTAAAATGAGCTGTGCTTCATTTTTGCCCCAAGTCAAGCAATCATAAGCAGATTTCCATCTTGGAAATGCCTTGTCCTCGATGGTTTATGCGTTTCCTCATTCAGTCCAAGTAGCAAATCTCCCATTATGGATGCTCATGTTCTGTGTTAAATGGGCAGGACAGTGACAACAGGGACTTTATGGTGACTGAAATATCTTTCATAGCTGGAGATTAGTAAATGGGTAGGACAGTGACAACAGGGACTTTATGAAGATGGTGACAGAAATATCTTTCATAGCTGGAGATTAGGACTTAACCCAGGGTACTAGTAACACTAATTTCCAGTATGTTTTCCCTGGCAATATTGCAGGCTGCCTAAATGACATGGTTTGAAACAGCAACTGCCTGTGTCTGTGCGAGAGCTGTGCCAAAACCTCTTTGCTTTTCCTACAGGATGTCCAAAGTCCACGGATGTCCCTACGTACACGGACCCTCAACAGGGACGAGCAGTCACAGGAGATGAGCAACACAGGTAACTTCCAGAGGCAGCTTTTGGGCAGAATTCTAAAACAAGTCCTGCCTTTGTTGAGGCTGACCTGGAAGTCAAAAACATGAGCTACTTTGAGTCTGATGCTTTTCTGATGCCTTTTTTATTTATTGTTTATTGCTAGAATTGACTGAGTTACTGCCTTTTCTTTCAGAAAGCAACTTAAATAAGAATGGGGAAACCCAGGACCCGCCCCAAAGTGCCAGGTACGTTTACAGGATCCTTCAGGCCCAAAGGCACCCTGGGGGATCTCTAGTCTAGTTCCCTGCTCAAAACAGGGCCCGTGCTGAAAATGTTAAATAGTTCCAATGTTTTGTGATTCTGCAATTTCTGCAATAAGTTTCCCTCCCTGTAATGAGAAGAAGAAAAAAAAGGCGGGGGGGGGATTGAATTTGTATCTTCTCTCATTAGAATTTTTTTCTTGGATAACTGAGTATGCAAAATATGGTTTATTTTAGGCTAAAACAGCATACATGACCCCCTTTTAAACCTGACTTTGGTGCTCAGGGGGGTTGGCCCTGTATGAGGACCTGTATTTTTTCCCCCCCCAGGAGAAAGCAAAGCTACAAAAGAGCTGTGGATCACCGCTATGACTACCAGCAAGAGGAAGATGGAGGACTTTCTCCTCCAAGAAGAAAGACCCCATCCCCTCTCTGTCCGGCCAGCAAAGTAAGATGCTTGCATCCACAATGCACTGTGTCTGGGGCTCTTGCCTGTGTAGTCTCCTGAGGATGACTTTTGGCGTTCTTGTCACAGGTGGTACGTCCTTTCAAAACGTTTTTGCACACTGTGCAGAAGAATCAGCTCCTCATGACCCCAAGTTCTGTGGGGAGAAGTGGTGTAATTAAATCTTTTATCAGGCACAACACCCCTCTTCAAACTGATCCTAAGGTAAGACAAGATTTCGAGTTGTAGGCTCGTAGATGATGGGCTAATGTGTGGCCAAGTTAAAGCACAGATGCCAAACAAAATTCCTGATCCGTTCTAAACGGAGGAATAACTCTTTACACTTCCATCACCTAAACAAACCTGTGATTAGACAACTCCCCTGGGTTCTTATGCTATGGCATTTCTTTAACACTCCCAAGTAGCCTAAGTGTGTCAGAGGAAGGAAAACTGGGAAAGGAAAATTGAGAGAATGCCACTGTTCAAACCGAATATGCATCGACATCAACAGAGTTTGACCCTTGCAACCAGCTATTAGCAAAGATGAGGTAAGAGGCCTCTGCTGCTTACAGCAGCATTAAAGTTGACCGCGTCGTGGGGGAAGCTCCTGTGGCTAAAGCAGGGTGGATTGGAGGAGATCTGGTTCTAGACCTCCAAAGAGTTGGTTCCCTTGCGCCCTGTTTACACAAAGCTTTTACTTTTTCTGTATCCAATAACTTCCTTGTGGAATAAGGTAATTCTAGGACTCGCTTTCCTTGAGGGAGAGTTGGGGAGGGAGAGGGCATCATCCTGCACAAACTGAAGTTTGCTTAAAACTGCCTTATTGCTTAAAACCATCATAGTTGCACTGCTTAACGAGTCTTGCTGTATTCCCTAATGATAAACTTCTCATCTGCTGAAGCAGATGAGGGATTCAACACTTAATGTCCGCAGGAACATGAGTGTGATTAGATTAATCTCCATATTGGTAAAGGAACTGATGTGATGAGAAAACCCCTCTGACCTGTGGATCCTTTGTTTTAGTTTCCCTGAATGTTGTATTTTAGGTTTCATTCAAAGCAGGCAGCTTCCCCCTCAGTGTGACCTTTTCTATTTGGGGACTAAACAGAACTAAGTAACACCAGAGAAGTAAGATCTAATAATTAGTTCAAATTTAGCTAGTTTGGGTACAAATAACCACCAATTTTTTTGCAGTATGGAGCACAGCATAAACTAATCACCTAAGTAATTAGCCTGCTTATCAGTGCTTTTGCTTGCACTGAGCCCAGGGCTGTAATAACTTGGCACTTGCTGTGCCCCATCTGACACAGAATTAGCTTCTCTTAATCTGATTGCTGTGACTTTAGTGCCTACTCTACCTTGTTCTTCTTGATAATATACTTAGGCTGAGTTAGCTGGATTGATGTGGAAAATGGGGGGAAAATGCCCTACGTTTCTGTCCAGATGATACGTGGAGCTGAATGTGTGCCCGAAATAAACTATAAAGGCTCTAACTGGTGCTTTGCTGTGAGAAATCTTTGTGGGAAGCAAAGAAACCAAGGGGAACTGGAAAACCAAGGTGTTTCCTGCAGTACCACCTTTCCCTGTTAATCTGCAGAAAATTGGTGCTAATATTTGGCAACTATAATACATTTTTAGGTTCTTTTTACTGATGTTAAGGCATAGTAAGTCTCTGCAGACATTTCCTGGACTCTAAGAGCTGATGGTTCTGTTTCAATTTCCAAGCACCTTTTGCTGTTAAAGATTAGCACCATTGCCTTGTTTTTCATTGCATCTCTTCCAACCAGGTATGATCACATCACAGGCTGCTTGAGATCTTTTTTAGGCTTATGACCTCCCCTGGTTGTGGCTGCAGCTCCTTGCTGTTGTCCATAGTTACCTGATCAGGCTGGGGCAGGAAGGAGCCCTTGCAGCTGGGTATAATCACTCCTCGATCCACCCTAGGAAAAGGAGAGGCAGAAACTAGAGACTCTGAGGAAAAAGCAAGAGGCCGAGCAGCTGAGGAAGCAGAAATTGGAGGAAGAAAAAAGAAGGCGACTAGAAGAGGCAAAGCTGTGAGTAGCTGCTTTCTGCCTTGTCCACACTGCACTCCCTGGGCTTTGGAGCTCTTTGCATCGCGGTTACTTGTCATGCAGATTCTCTTTCAACAGAAATTCTTGCTCGTTTGCTTTCATGCTGCTAAGGCAGCATTTGTTGTGTTACTGTCTACCTAAAATGTTTAGTAACTACTACTGAAAAAAGTTCTTTTCACCTGATTGCTGCTTCAGACTCTTGCCCCAAGTCCTCTGTCTCAGATGAAGCTTAAATATTGCCAATATTTAAGCTCATGGCCTTAGCGCGTTAAGTTTTGCTCCCTGAGAGGTTTCTCTGTTCACCCTGCCCTTGAGCTGTGGGATCTGTGGAAGGAGCTGAGATCCGTTGCTGAAGCCAGGCCGTGTCCTACAGGAAGCGTGAGGAGCGTCTCCGCAAAGTGCTGCAGGCTCGGGAGCGCGCGGGGCAGATCGAGGAGGAGCGGAAGCGGCGCATCGAGCAGAAGATCGCGCTCTTCGATGAGAAGACTGAGAAGGTAAAGGCCCCACGTGCCCGTGGAGCTTACTGTGCTTAGGCGAGCCTCTGTGGGGCTGCACTGTGCCATGCTCGTGCTTCTTCCAGAAAAGGTGGAGCTGAGGATCTTTGAATAAAGATCTTTTCAGAAACCTGGCATTCAGGGAATTTAAACTGCTTTATTGCTCTTGATTACAGCTAATAGAAGATTAAAAGCTTTGTTTTCCGGAATTGTTAATCTAAAGAGGGTGTATTTAGGCTGGCTTTGTTCACTTGAAGTTGTTTTCCATATGGTTAATAGAAGAATCAGGGAAATAAGCAGGCTTCCTTGTATCTGAAGTTTTCAGCCACCTTACAATTGGACCATAGCAGTTGGTTGTCTGCCTGCAGTACCTTTGTGCTTTACTTATTTTATGCTGTTTAAAACGAGTTCTGATGGGCTCTGTTACATTTGATGTAAAAAAATAATAATAATAATCAGCAGAGAATCCTCTCCACTCTGGAGATCCAAGGGAAGGTAGCTTCCCTGGCTGTCAGTGCTGGAGAAGAGCACACAGGCTACTTTGAGTGGCAAAGAGGGGGAGGCCTTTGCTTTGTGAGTGGGTGGGAGCTCTTCATCCTTGAGTTTTACTGTTGTGATACTTCACCTGCACCTGAGACTGAGCCATTCACTGTGCCCTAGGTGCGGGAAGAAAGGTTGGCAGAAGAGAAGATCAAAAAGAAAGCGGCTGCCAAGAAAATGGAAGAGGCAGAGGCCCGGCGCCGGCAGGAGGAAGAGGCCAGGAAACAGCGAGCGCTGCAGCAGGTCCGTCCCGGAGCTCGTGTGCTAATGCCCCTGTTGCCTCCCGTCCTGCACGCACTTAGAGTGCCTGTGAGCTGCTGCAATCTCTGTGAGGCAGCCAGCGAGGGTGCTAACACTAAGCAACCGAGTGAAAATTCTGCTGCGGGAGAGGAAATAAGCTTAGGTTCTGTCCTTAAAGCTTTCTGCAGTTTTTTGCTTCCTTTTGCAATCTGTTGTGAGCTGTTATTGATGACTGTGAGCCAAGTTTCTGCAATCCTGGACAGGTTCTTACTGAAGACAGTGAGCCAAATTTCTGCAATCCTGGACAGGTTTTTACTGAAGACCCTTAATTTGTGAATTGGCAAGTATTAAATTTTCCAGTTAAGGAGACTGAACAGCGTTATGTGGGAAGAAGTGATGTCGCTTAATCCGTCACCTCTGCGCGTGGAGAGGGCCCCAGGGCACGGTGGCCACTGGGGCTTTGGGCTACGCGGTGGGCAGGGCAAGGCCAGCACTAAATTGCTGAAAAGATGAGGTCGCTCCCTGGAGAGCGTGTCCTCTGCGTTAGTCACGTGTGTCACTGCTGCACCGAGTGGTGTTGAAGCCTGGATCAGAACAGCTGACCCTGATTTTGTGTGTTCTGGAACCTGTTCCTGTAGGGTGTGGGGTTAGTAATTAGTCTTGTGCTTGCCAGGAGGAGGAGGGGGAGCGTCGGCACAGAGAGCTAATGCAGAAGAAAAAGGAAGAGGAGCAGGAACGTGCGAGGAAGATCGCCGAGCAGAGACAGGCAGAACAGGAGCGGGAGAAGCAGCTGGCTGCAGAGAGAGAGCAGGAGCGGAAGAAGGAACAGGAGAGGATCCAGGCAGAGAAGTAAGATCATCTCCATTTCTGCACTAAATGTCGTGCCGGGGCTTCGGAGGGAAGCGCCACCGAAATGTCCCAGCAGAGAAGAGCGGCTTCGTGCAGCTCTGCAAGAAATTCTGGGCCTGATAAAGTAGCCAGTGTGGTGGCGAGTGCCCTGAAAAGGTGCAAGAAAGTAAGAGGGGCTTGCAGCAGGCCCCGTGGATGGGGGATATCCCTGTGCAGTTTGGGGTGTAATGAGCTGCTACTTTGGTTCTCAGGCAACGTGAAGAGCAGGAGAAGGCTGCTCGCCTAAAGAAGGAGCTGCTGGCTGCTAAAGAACAGCTCCACAGAGAGGTGGAGAAGGAGGTAAGGCCACTGTGCTGCTCAGTAGCTACTTAGAGCCGGGGGGATCTGGCTTTAGTAGCCATCACTGCTGGCATCTTCGTAGCTCAGGGGCTGCTAACAGCCCCGTTGAGTGACTTGTTGCACTGCTGGATTTAACTTAACAAAAGAGACTTTTAGCAACCTGCGTTTTCACCTGAACAGGGACTAATAGCCCACAAGTTATTCAAATAATTTTTGGAATGCCCATTTCCAAGGGTTTTCCCTGCAGCTAATGGGATTTTGCAGGAATTCTTTTGCTATTTTGACTTTATAGCATAACTGGGGAGAATTTGCACCTCTGCTTTGAGGGGATTTCAATGAGAGAACAAGGAAGCACAGCTGGAAATGGCCCAACCTTTGTGTTCCAGGGCCATTCAGAACTCTGGCACACTGAGGACAGCTCAGACTGCTGCGTTGGTTTTGGTCACTGTGCCGAGTTCAGACTTCCATTAGATGTTTGGATTTTCAGCATCTTGGAAAAAGGGATCCGTGGGGGAGTAGAACAGCCTAGTTAATGAGGTTAAACTTACTGTGTCTGTGATGTGGGCTCGCCAGCAGGAGCAGCACAGGCTAGCAGAGGTGAAGAGGCAGGAGCAAGAAGAGAAGACACTGCCAGAGGAGCAAAAGGCTAAAGAGGGTGCCCAAACACAGCACCTAGAAAAGAAAGAGGTAATTCTGCTCTCTCTGGTGGCATTTCTTTAAGGGATCACATCAGAGAAGTCAGCTTCCAGCCCTGAGCTGCTGTTGCCATGGGCAGTTTTACCATGTGCTTGTTTTTTTTTTTTTTTTTTTTTTTAATTCTCCTTCAATAATGAAGGGATCCTGTGAAATCTCACTATGATTATCGGAGGCTGATTCCAGGTAGCCTTGAGTAAATGACTTGCAAGAAACAACAAGTATTTGCCAGGACTTTCCAGTCCTGTCAGTACAAGGGGGTGAACCTGGAATTAAGATTCCTTTGCTTAACTAAATTTCCTCTGCCTGAATACTGACCCCCCAAAGAGCAGAGATGTTGAAATGGGGATGTTTAAGCTCAGAGGGAAACAGCCACAGGGCGGCAGCAGAGCCTGCAGACCAGTGCTGCCTGGGTGAACCCTGCTGATGTCACCTGAGGTGATCCTGGGAGTTAATATTCTTGTCTGGGAGTATTTAAAATAAATACACAGATCTCTTTCTACCTGCTTGCAAAACTGTGCATTTTAATCTTTAAATGCAAAAAGAGTGCAATGACTTTCATTTATGTTTGTTTTTTCCATGATTCTGTTTTTAGGGAGCAAAACTGTTTCCAGTTTTCTAGAGACACTCATCTTAGGAACTGACTTAAATTTTGTGGTTCATGAAATGTGCAGTTCTAGCCTCATCTTTTCTGTGTTCAACTGTTTCTGCATTTTCTCTCAGTCATGCTGTTCCCATCAGTTACATGAAGTTTGTCCTGGAGTGTGCTATAGTCGCTTCTGAACAAGATAATGATCTGTTTAACAGTATTAAACAAGACCAAAGTATTTGAAGGACGCTGCTCAGTTACAGCTTTTGGGATGCAGCAATTTCATTTAAGCCTTGCTTGGGTAAAGTGGAACTGCTATGTTTATATCAGGATTTATTGCCAGTTTGTCGCACATAGCTGATAAGCAGCCTAATTAAATTGGAAAAGGCAATGTAGAGTTGTAATTGGGCCAAAGCTTTACAACTCTGGGTCTTGTAATTACTTGCTAAAGTGAGAGGCAGAGCAGAGAGAGGTGTTGCCGGTTGTGCCCTACCACTGCTTGGGAGTCTCAACGACTGTGATTTCTGTCTTTCAGGCTTCTCCTGTGTGCAGTTCCTATGAGATGACCCCCCAGGGCTTGAAAGGTCCTAAACCCCCCAAGATAAATCCCAATAACTACGGCATGGATCTGAACAGTGACGACTCCACGGATGATGAGAGCCAGCCCCGAAAGCCCATTCCTGCCTGGGCTACTGGTACGTGCCGGCTGGCTGGGGTGGCTGTTGACACTTCCCAGGGCAGTTCTGCTCTTACTGATGACAAGACTTGCTGCAAGATGGTTTTTCCTAGTTGAATCCTACTTGCACAGAGGTGCCAACCTGGGGCAGTGTGGGTGGAGTGTTGAGTCCAGGAATTCTCTGCCACCCAGGACGTTCACAGACAAAAACTGCACAAAAATCCATCAACTGTGCTGCTAAGGTCACTTTTGCCAGCATAAGTGAAAGAATATTCTGATCTAGTGCAGTATTTACCCTCCAATCAATGTATCCTGCTGCCCAAGGCATTACTAACATGCCTCAAGGCACCAAACATTACAGGAGTTCTCTGATATTTCTTCAGTTTTCTGATTAGTAACAAGAGGAGCAGGAACATAGCCAAACATCGTACATTAGCAATTGAAAGAAGCTAATGATAATGTAATCCCCCCTCTCTCCCTGCAGGGGATCAGCTTACCCAAGCCGTAATCCGGCAGTACTACAACCCGCCCGATGTGGACGCGCTGTTTGGGATCATCACCAACCCCAAGCTGGAGGACATCTTCAACAAAAGCAAGCCCCGCTACTTCAAGCGCACGAGCTCCGCCGTCTGGAACTCACCACCGCTCGCAGGGGCCAAATCAGTCCTAGGGCTGCCCTACGGCCTGAAAAAGTAGAGGTGGCTGTGCCCCGTGGAATCCCCAGCACGCACTGCTGTTCCTCTAGGCAAGAAAGAAAGTTATTCCTCAGTGTCTGTAAATCTTTACGTATTAGTCTTGAATAAATGCCGTTTTTTAGCAGCCCTTTTGCATTTTCTATTTTGGGCGGGTTTTCTTTTTTTTCCCCCCTGCTCAGGCAAACCAAACTTTTGGGAGATCTTGTTGGTGAAAGATGCATCTCCCTTGAACCTCAGCCCGCAGTTAGGAAGCATTTAGACCTTCAGGTCATCAGAACTGGTCACCTAAAGCACCACGATCCTCCCCAGTTCAGCCAAGCAGGCCCAGTAGCTGCTGCTGAAGGCAGTTTGTCAGGACAACTCCTGCCCACCCCTCTGTGTAACTGTCTCCAGAAAAATCTAAACTAGCACAAGCAGCCATTGTTATTTTAGGCTTTTTAAACAAAATTATACAGCAGTTCCGATAGGTGTTTTTTTTTTTTTTTTCTCTCCAATTTAAATTTTATAGCAAATTGGAGTGAAATGATGATTTTGGACTTAATCTCTGGCTTGCTCTTTTTCCCTGTGGCAATTTCATTTACTCAGCATCAAAGGTGGCTTTATTTTTAGGCCTCTTGTTTTGCACTTCACATGCTCCAGCTGACCCTGTCTCATGGAGTATTATCAAACCCTATCTCTTAATGGCAAAATCTCTCAGATTTTAAGCTCCAAGATCACTTGTTATTTTGGTCGGTCCTGCTGCGCCTAGTTCACAAATGGCACTGAGACTTGTGTGTTCTCTGCAATGAGCTCTTGTCCTCTAAAGACTAGAGGCATCACTAGGGCACTACTTACTGGAAGATTTTTTTAAAGGAAACAGTTGTATTTTTCTAGGTTGTTGTGGAAATTTGTCTCGTGCGAAAGCAAACTGTACTTACCTCAGATGCATCTTTTTCTCGAGGCTCGATTTGCTTTAGAGATGGACAAATGTGTTCATGGTTGCAATTCTAATGGACAAAAAAACCTGAAGGCAACCATTTAATGTACATATCACCAGTGTGCTTTTTGTAAAAACTACATTGTAAACTGTACAGTGTGTGAGGAAATGGCACCTTTCCTTGTGTGTGTGCAGCTGTGGACTGTTTTCAAGAAACTGTCTTTAAAATTATGTGGGTCTTTATTCATCCAAACACAGCAATTGCTAGATGCTATGTTATTGATCAGTTTATAACTGAGATGATTGTTTTTAATAGATGCTCTGTAGTTTGACTTTCGTACTGCAATCTTAATGAACTTGGAACCTTTTTGTAAGAAAGCTTACTAGAATGGCAAAAAGACCTGTAATGTTGAATGCCCTTTGAATGTTTCATAGTAGTTGAATAAAAGCGAGTTAAAGCATCCCTTCTGGTCTCCTCCTCTGGACTCTTCATAGTTTCAAGCTGGAGAATCCTGCAGCACTCTGGAATCTGCCTTTGGGTTGCTTGTGGACAGTTTCCTAAAGTTTAGAGTATTTTACCTACGGAGAACTTAGTACTTCCTTCTCTATAAGAAAATGCATGCTGTGGTAACCCTGCAGAACTTGCTGCCTAGTTTACTGTTAGTTTCCTCCCAGAAACTGAAAAGGAGGCAGTCTGGCGTGGTGAACTGTTCCCAGAAATCTTTGCTAAGAAATAGAGGACTTCAGATTGAACTAACTTATGCCCCTTGGAACTCGCTTCTATTTTTGTCTAAGTTGGAAAATAACCAGAATTGCTGCTGCCAGATAGAGCAGGAACTTCCCTCACACAGACTGTGGAACCACAGTGGAGCTATGGCATTAAGGACAAAAACATTCTGGGAAACTCCAACTAAGAATTCTTTTAAAGTTGTTTTTGACTGCTGATTTCAGGTATTTCTTTTTGTATTTTTGATTCCTGCGGGCCCCAGCAGCCTCTTCGGGGCTCTACGTGCATGTGTGTTATAGCACAGTCTTGCAGGTCTGCACAGCTATTTCTTCAGGATGTGTCTGAGCCATCGGAGCATTGCACAGGTTCGTAATCCAGGCATGAAAGAAAAGGTGACCTACCTATTTCTGCACAGACAAACATTGTTTACCTCCAATCTGTGTCCTTTTATTCTCCCCTACCTTCTGCCCTCTCATCCATTTTTTCTTGCTCTGAACCTGTTCTACTCTAATACCAGGCATGTCTCAGTATTGACCTTAAGACCAAGTCCAAATAGGCAAACACATATTTAGTTTTGCTATATTTAGCAAAGACAAAAGTCAGATACCTTCCCAAACCGGGAAGAGTGACACTGTACAAAGCCCAACCAAAAAAATGGAGAGGGCAAATTCCTGGCTGCCAAGAGGAAAATGGTTTCCAGTGATCAATAACCACTTGAGCTTAGTAATAATGGTAAAATCTCTAACTTTTGCCAGTGATTTTTGCCATGACTGCTTTGCAGTGATGAAAGAGCCTGAAGGAAAATGGTTAATGATCATCCCAAAGCATTTTATTCCCTTTTTATGCCACTGGCTTCAACAAAATTACCTGGCTTGGTCCTGTCAGTCAGCAGATGCTTCAGGGTCATCCTTTAAGGTAAGTAGAGTGGGACTCACTCCTGCAGACTTCTACAGCTATGCTTTTTTAAAAAGAAAGAAAGAAAAAAAAAGTAAGCAAATTGTCACAATTAACTTTGTTTAGAACAAGAAGGGGGGAAAAAAAAGACATAAAATGCAAAACTCCTTCTCTCCCCTCACCCAGTCTTCTCCCTAGTACGTGGACGGATACCATGATCTGGGGCCTCTCAAAATGCTCCCAGGATGGCTGCCCTTTCCCAGCATTTCATTCAGCTTCTTGGATGTGGGTTTTGTTTGTGGTTTTTGGTGGGGGCACCCAAGCCCAGTTGCATGCCTGGTCCAACCTGGGTTCGGAGGTGCTGAAAGCCCAGCAAGAGGATTAGTTTTCAAGAACTGGTACTATTCCAAACCAAGTGGACATGTGATGCTGGCACCCCAGACAAAGCTCTAGCGAGACTCGGGTCCCCGCATGCAGTTCCGCTTGCTTTGGCATTCCCTTTCCTCCATGAAGCACCTAGGTGTCCTTTACATCTGGGATTAAAATAAAGCCAATGTACACAGCACTTTGCACAAGCAGAGTAGCCGGGACTGTTCCTGGTGCTTGATGCCTTCCTCTGAGGCCAGGGCTGGCTCTGGGACATACAGCCCTGTCCAAGGTAGCCGCTTGCTCGTGCAGCACAAAACCAGCTGTCGGCAAAGGGCCAGGCAGGAAGAGGCTGCAATTCCGATGGAAACGGGCCAGGGTCAGGAGTGTTTGGAGAAACGGAGCGCTCTTTAACCCTCCCCTGGTTTCGTTTGACTCGGCTCTAGCAAGCGAAGAGTGAGGTAATGGGGGGCGTTTACTGTAGAAGAGAAAAAGGGAGGTGAATGTGTTGGTGGGATGCGAAGAGCTGGGAGGGCTCTGCAGCCGCTCTGCAAGCTGTGATTTTTGCCTGTAACTTTCCATTCCCAAATGCCACGGGGTTTCTCCGTCTCACCTGCCACTGCCTTTGGCTCCAGGTGACAGCCTGTCCTCCCAAGCACCTGTTTGCACTGCACAAAACGTTGAGTCTGAGAACAACAAACAAATGAACAATCCCCCTGCGGCAGCCCCGGGTAAATGGGGCTGTTTCTGGCGGCTTTTCCTGGGCACCTCTCATCCACAGATGCTCCCTGATGAGGCCGTTTGGAAGCGCCTTGCAGAGCTCCCCCACTTGTCCATGGAAATCAGGGCTCCCTGGTAGTACCGCAGCCAAGAGAGGGTGCCCAGGGCCTCTATCTGCAGGGCAGAAGCAGGAAGAAGACAAGTTGCTGCAAGGATTATAGGGATTCAAAAATACCATGTGGTAGGTAACGGTGTGAACTGGTTGTTCCTCACACCCAGTCTTGGGTGGTAGCAGAGCCCACGTGAGGATCCAACAGCAGTGGGAAAACACTGTCCAGGCTCGTTTGTGTCAAACCATTTCACCCGAACCCTCAGCCCTGGAGGGATCCCCAATGTTTTCCATATCCTTCCTTTCTTCCAGTCCCTGCTTTTTCATTTCACCAGGTTTCCCTGAAGCTGAGCCCATGCGGGGGCTGTTCCAACCATGTTAGGACCCAGGCTTTGTCTTTGGCTGGCTTGGGGATTAGTGCAAAAATATTATTATTAATCAAATTGGCTTCTAGTGACCCAACCATTGACAATATTGTTGGCAGGAGGAAAACAAGGAAAATGAATGTTTTCAGACAAATCCTCCAATGACATTAAGTAGCTTAAGTGTTAAAGCCAGCTTAGCAGCCTGTGCCAAGGCTCCTAAGCATCTTTCCAAAGGCTGTTTCCTACCCCCAGGGCCCTCGTGCACCTTCTCAAGAACTCCAGAAGCTTATTTTCAACCCAAACTCAGCTTTGGGGGAGAAGTCTTCTTCTGGGGAATAGGATAGCTGGTTTATTTTGCAGTCTTCCCCCAGGCAGAGCACTAGGCCGCTCCCCAGCCCAGGCACTCGGCACTTACACCCAGGAATACTCTGACCGGCTTTAAGGTTTAAGGAAGCAAGGCTGGTTTCTGGTGTTTCCATGTTCCTCAGGACCCACCTTTGACTCCTCTGTTTTCTTATATATACAGCAAATTGCATAACAGAAAACACACCTTTTCCCCCACGGCAGCTGCAGCCTGACGCAGGCAGCAGAGGCCACGCCGCCGCGTTTGAGAAAGCCGTCCCTATCACTTCGAGGAGGAGGCCAAGTCCTCCCGCGTGCCATGAGCGGAGGAGAAGCAGGAACCCAGGGCACTGGCATCTTCTCCAAAGTAAATACACCCCAGCGGGGACGGGGAGGCCGCACGGCGGGTGCCAGCGCCAAAGGAGGAGCCCGGCTCGCCGCTCCGCGGATAAAAGCGACGGCAATCCCCCCTGGCCGCAGCCTCCCCGCTGGCCTCTGAGAGCAGCGGATTGGCCCCTTGCAGTTAGTGGCTTCTGTAGACACCCTCGTTTGGGTCTCATAGCACGAGGGCGGGATTCACTGGAGCACAGGGAAGCAGTTACAGACAGGGGGTATCAGCAAAGCCAGCGCCAAGGTGGACCCACAGTGACAAGCCCCGGTGTCTATGGCCGCGGAGGGCAGATGTTGCTGAGCTGTGGATTTTCAAGCCTCCAAGTTACACACCTGTCCCCGTAAGCTTTGCTCACGTCTGGATGCTCCTTTTCTTAGGTCCACCCTCCTGAAGAAATGAAGTTGACTCCAGAATGTTGGGTTTGGAGCAAGAGCCATTGGGAGCCCCTGTCACCTGTTCACACCTGTTTCCACTTTTCTCTTTCCAGCATCTGCTGCTTGTGAACTTCTGCAAAACTTTACAAAGGAGCTTGTCTTTGGCTCTGAAAAGCAGTACCTGAAGTTCATCAGTCACTACACCCACTTCTTGCCTGCCTTCGCTCCAGTAAGAAAAACTGCCATTGAGTTCAAGGAATGTGCAGAAAGTTTAAGCCCAGAAATGAAGCAGGCCATAGTGGCAGTGACGGTAATTTGAGCCTTTTTGTTTGTGTTTTTGCACCTTTTTCTCTCTGGAAGAGAAATTAGAAACTTTCACAAAGCGTTGGCTGCTTTCCTTCTGTCTTCTCCTTCCCCCACTGCCAGCAGTGCAGGACACAGTCTCACTTCCCATCCCTGCGTCACAACAACCCTTGTTTTCCAAGAGGAAAGGGTGAGGTTTGTTCCCAGCGGGACAAGAGAGGTGGTTCCAGTGCTCGCTCTGCCTACACATCCTCCCCATGGAGGAAGGCGTTGAGAACTGGTGGAGGAAATGCATCTCCCAGCTGGAAGGACGAGGCAGGGAGAGAGCACAAAGTGATTTTCCTCTTCAGTCAGCTGCCTCCACGTCTACACTACTCTGCTGCTTGCAGCTGAGCTGTCCCTCTGCCTTCTAGTGCCTGGTGCTACACCTCTCTATTCACTGGTTTTGCTCTTTTACAGGAAAATATCATAGTACAGTGTGAAAAGTCAGAATAGCCCCGGGACCTCGTGATGACTCCAGCGGCTGCCTGATCCCAAACGATCGATTTTCACTTTTTTTTTTTTTGGCTAAGAACTTTCACCCTCTTCCTGAATAGATGCTTGTGTTATCTAGAATCTGTGACCCTCTTTTCACATCCTCTGCAAGCTTTCCTGATCCAATAAAATAAGAGCAATTAATATCCTTGTGAAGTGTTTTTTTTTTTTCTTGACAACTGGCCCTAAAACATCCTAGGCAGCCACCTAAGCTGTGTGAGACATCTCTGTTCTCACGTCTACAGCGACGCGGTGAAAAAGCACAACGTCACTGCAGCTGCTGCTCAGTGTTACTAAATTATGTGCAATTAAGGCAACACACGAGTCACTCCTCAAGAGAAACCCAGTGGCTTATTACAAGGGGAAAGCAAAGTGCTTTCTTAAATTGTGTGGAGCGCAGGAGAAGGTGGTTGGTGGCATTACAAGAGTTACTTATGTGCAGAGTAAGAACATATTTGAAGGGAGAAATCCATGCAGATGGAGCCCAGAGCCATCAGTCTGGGCTGGCACTGGTGTGCGCCTGTGAGGGCAAGGGGGAGATGGCTTGTCACCGTTCCAGGAGGCAGATAATAGCAGGATGTGTCCCTGATGAAAGGATGTCCTGTCCTCTCCTCCCAGCCAGCGCAGGCCTTGCCAGGCTGCCTGTTGCTAATTTGGGCAAATCTGATACTAACTTTGGTCCAAAATACAATTATGCCTGTTCTTTGTTTAAAACCAGAAGGACATGGAAAAAAAAACCCAAATTCTTCCAGAGGTCCCTGGGCTACTTCCAGGGGAATTGGCTTGAGGGCTGTGAGAGCCAGCACAACTCAGAGCCAGGAGAGCTGGTGGGCAGAGCTCCCTGCCGCTTTCCTGGGTGAGTTTAATCCCCAGCGTGGATTAAGCGTGGATGTAGCCTGGGAATGTAGCCTGGATGTCCTGGGAATCCCGTGGTGCTTGTGTGTCCTGTGCTGCGAGGGGAGCAAAGGCTACGGCCCAAATGTGTAGCAGGCCCTTGCTGGGCCCCGTTTATTTTGTCGAGGGTCAAAAGTTCAAAAAAAAGAGAAGTTCTGGATGAAAAATTTCACCCTGCTCTACAGCATCAAGCTCAAGTTCAGCTCAAACGTGTTCCTCTGCGAGGGGACTACTTGACTTTCCTGTAGCCAAAAGATGTTTATAAGGAAAAATAACAGCAGGAAAATACTACTTGCTTGCTTTCTGTCTTGCTCTCCTTCTATCTTTCCATGAGGAACAAGACGCGGCATCAACAGCAAGTGGTTAACAAGATCTCCAGGGTGTCTCTTGCACCTCTCCTGTAGTCCTGCCACGCCTGGCCTGCTGCCAGGCTCTGCTCATGAAAACATCAGGCCTCGCTCCTGGGAATTCATTCCTAAGCAGCTCTGAAAATAAAAATCTCTTCCCCTTGTCCGAAGCCTTCAGCTTCCTAACGTATGTCGCAGAATAAACTAAAGCAAACAGAGCCGGCCTGGAGAGGAAAGGCACAAAAGCAGCCTGGACCAGGCACCTGCTCAAGGACAGTAACAGAGCAGCGCAGGAGACAACGGGAGAGTTGCAGCACACCGCTAAAAACCAGAAGTAGGAACGAAAGACCAAACAAGGACATAAAGTGAGTCAGGGCCAACTGGACCAGTTCAGAAGACCTGTGCAGCACGGGTGCCTGAAGGACTCAAGTTATATAGGGGAAAACAAGCGTTTCACTCTCAAATGCTGCTGGTTGCAGATGGAATACGCCATGAGTAAGATCTCAGGACAGAACGTGCTTTTCCAGCAGCTGAAAACCTTGCAGATAAACAATAACAAAAAAATGCAGTTTTGTGGATGTAAATACCAGCCCTAGAGGAGCAGGGTGGGCAAGCAGTGGAAATTAACTGCAGTGTCAAAATAAGCAAGTAATAAAGTGTTTCAAGTCCAGCTCTGATTATACTGTTGCCTTCGAAAGGAGCTGGTTTGATGGCAACCCCTTTGAGGATGCAAGTATGAAAGGACAGTGAGCGCAACGCTGATCTAGACAGTTCAGGGCAGCGTTCTTGCCCGTTTTAAGAACAGGATGAGGAATAACTACCAAGGATCTGCTAAGTAGTTTAGAAGCAAATCCAGATTTTTGCCTCTTTGCCAACTTTTTTCCCCCACTCTTGCAAGAGGCTGTTAGCCCTCAAGCTCTCTTTGGAGCTGTGGCTTGGAAGGCTTTCTTCAGCTTCCATGGATAGTGGGGCATTAGCTATGCAAATATTTGATGTACGTATTAGGTCCCTCTTTCTTCTTCCCTCTCTCCCTAGGGCACAATAACGCTAAGCTTTCCACCACCAGAAGGCAGGGAAAGGTTTAAGCCGTTGCAATGGTGCACCGTGGCCTCTCAAAAGCAAAACTTGCATGTGCAATAACTAGATCCTTAAAAAAAAGACGCCACATTTTCATGGATGCAACTTACTGGGAATGCCATAGGGCTGATCATGCCTCTCCGAGCTCCTTCCCCAATCCACCTTCAGGCTCTAGGGGGGCCCATACATATGCCAGGAGCATCTCCAGCCCTGTGAGGAAAAGGAAGAGCAAGGCAGAGGAAGAAGGAGCGAAGGAGCCCAGCAGCCTCTCCCTTACCAGCTAGCAGAACTAGGCAGCTAACTCAAAGCTTAGTCACCTGTGCTGGAGGTAGCTTCAGCTGCCCACCCGTTCTCTACTTTTCACCTGAAAATTCAGTTTCACCTGCTTCGGTTTCAGTGACTCGGGGATATATTCTGCACAGATCTGCATGTCTCACTGCTGCAGGCTCAGAGCTTCTGGAGACAATTTCTCCATGTCTCAACAGCAAGGCTGCCCACTTGGCTAAAATGCTATGGAGGAGTGTTTCTAGCTATTGAAGATGTTCTTCCTTAATTGAGGGTTTCCTTTCATGCATCCGTTTGCTTTTTTTAAAAATTATTATTTTTCAGAAGGCCGCTGATCATGGTGCTCAAAATGACACCAGGTGGAACGACAAAAGCTGAAGGAGGAACACAACGGGCCAGTAATTAGCCGAGCAAAGTGGCAGCAAGGGGAACGAACAGCTCCAAGAATGCAGCCAGACGCCACTTGCTGGAACCGTTTCGAGCTGGGCAGTCGCGGGGAACAGCGCGATCCCACCTCGCACGCCAGCTTTCCAAAGGCGTGGAAGGTCAGCGGGAGCCCTTGCCAGCAGAGCGTGGCATTCGCGGCCTGCCGGGGCAATCAATGGCAACGGAGCACACCTGCCTTGTCCCCCTGCCCTCTTCTTAAACAATTGTGGCCTGTGTCCAGGTGCCATGAGGCTGCGTGACCTGCTGGGGCCATTCCCACTGCACAAGTACCCACATATATATACACACGTACACACACATGCACATATATATATATGTGTGTGTATTCTAGTGCTTTGCACACATTCCTGAGGGAAACTCACTGCATTGCACAGGCACCATATGGCAAATGGCTCCCTGCATCATGAAGATGACTCTTATTCTGCTCATCACGGTTGTACTTTGCAGCTCCCCAGGTAAGTTTTAGCATTTTCTTTAAAAAGAGGAGAACTTGGGGATATATATATATATATACACACATATATATATACATATATAAAAAGATAACCCATATATATATATAAAGATAACCCATAGCTACATCCCTATAACACCTCTGCAGTTCCCCCTGAAGACATTTGTGGATACAACGGGGAAGTTTAGGTGCCTGCCTCTGAGACAAACGAGTCACTGCGGCTTGTTCAGGGCCACGGAGGTTTGTTCACGTAGGTGTTTAGTTCATCCGACTAAATCCGGACACTCCGAGGACAGCGAGACGATGAGAGCAGGAACATTTCACAAGAAACACTGCAGAGACAGGAGGGGAAAATGTAACTCCTGAAGGCTGCCAACAACACGGGGGACGAAGGAATACACGCGCATAAGGGACAGGAGGGAGCTGGGAGGTTTCTGATGTCTGAATTGAAAAGTGGAAGCGACCTAAGGAAGCAAAGGTATGGGGAAGGAGGAGAAAAAAAAAAAAAAAAAACAAGAAGGCAGAGAAGCAGCTGGATACAGAGAAGATAATAGGGTTGAAGATCAGGCAGGAAAAGGGTTATGGGTGGACTGTGCGGTACCGGTGCCACCGCGCAGCTCTTGTACTTGCCATCTGCTGCTGTGAAAGCGCAAAAAGCTGCCACCTAGAGCACGTGTTCTGCAAAAATAAAAGAAAATTCACATTTTGTTATGGCTGCGGAGGGGGTAGGAGGACAGGGCTCGTTGCTTGTGAAGAAACGCGACCCGCAGGGTGCACGTGTGACTCTGTGTTGGCTCTGCAGGCGCCGGCTCGTCCCGCGGGGTTGTGCCCAGCCTCCTGCAGACCCTTCTCGAGGGCACCCCCGAGCAGCTGCAATCCGGGCCCCTGTCCCGGTACAGCATCGACGAGGCGACTCGAGCCGCTCTGGCTGCGCTGAAGGAGTGTATCGACGCGCTGCCTCGCGAGCACGTGAAGGCCCTCACCAGCCTGCTGGTAACTAACTGCCGTCACCGTTATCAAACGATCCCAACCATGCGCCTTGGGCCACGGTCCGGGCAAGGAGCACCCGGGTAGCTGGAGTGAAGCTTCCCTTGGCCTCAGCGTGGGCAGGGGGTGTCTGCTGCTGAGCTGGGGTGACAGGGGAGAGGGAGCAGAGATTCCTTAATGGGACGGACCTGCTCTGGAGACACCAGCTCTCCAGTAGGGAAGCAGCAGCTGCTCCATGCAGGTGGCTTATTGGGAATGAAGCCAGGGCTGCAAAGAAAACCTTTGGCAGCAGCGAGGGAGATTCGGGCGTACGTGACCCTCTTGCCCATTGCCGGTGTTTGCCACGGATTCACGAGCCATGCGGCCTCGTGAGCACCCGCAGCTGAGAGGCCACCCAAGCCTTCGTCCTCACCTACACTTTGCCTGCAGTTCCTGGCTCGTAGCTCCTGTGTCCCGTGCACATCTGGCTCCTGCAGTGCCTTCTGCAGTAACCACCATGTGCTTCTTTTTAAACAGACTGATGAGGCACAAGATGCCTAGGGCCTCTTTAGAAATGTCACACTTGGAGCGTCAGGAATGCAACACGCAGCTAGATGGAAACCTCCTAAAGGCGTTGCCAAAGACAAAATACCATCGACCTAAAGGATCCTTTTACTACATGAATCTCCAGGATTCATTTTAGGAAAATTTTGGCATGCCACTTTCACTGCTTTTCCTTTCTCTTCTAGAAACTTGTGCGCGCAGAGGTGTGAAGGGGCAGAATATTCCTCAGAGTTGCTGATGATACTTCAGTCGACCTCCAGCTGCCGATATCCAAAAAGTCTGGGAAAGCCGGCACCATGAAACAAGAGCCACCCAGGACACGGGTAGCTGCTTTCCTGGACTCAACGTGCCGAAGCCTACACCCCATTGCCTTCCCAGGTACTTCAGACTGAACTTCTTGGGAGGCCAAATCTCTGCTCCACAGAACAATTCCGATTGAAAATGATTTCTGTCATCCATTTCATAGATAAAGGTTGCTGTTGTGCTTTTTACCATTAGGACCAAATGGCATTTGTTCTGATAATATCACCAACACTTTCCCAGTGCCCTGTCTCTCCCACACCCACGTTTGTGGGTCCCCAGTCTAACTCTCAATGACCTGAGGGACATGAGTCCTCAGTCAAAGCAGCTTTCCCAAGTTCTGGCCATCTCAGCAATAAATGTAGTAGCAAATGATACCAAACCTCCTAAGCACTGAGACAGGTGGAGACACCTGGCTCCAGATTTCTGCTAGTCTGGCCCAATTACTTTTAGAAAGACCTGCTCTGAACACAGGAGCTGCCTCACAGCTCTCACAGGAGATTAGAAAACCAAGAACTAACATTACATTTAAGTGTATTACCCATATGGACTGTGGCTATTAGTGTTGCTACTAGCAGAAATAGATTAAGGTCAGCAAGATCAGCAACTCAGAAAGAGTTGAAGAGTCCACATATTCTTTACTGAAGAATTGATAAAATAAAACTAAAAGCAAGTACATCCAAACAGCATAACTGAACACAATGTTGTGTTCCAGAAATGCGAAATATGTTTCTTGCTATTTGGTTAAAAATCAGAAAAGCTGCATATCAGGTGAGGCTAATCCCAAGGGAATTGTCATCTCACTGGTGCTCAGCAACAGGATGAGAGGCAGCAGCACAAACTGAAACACAGGCAGCTCTGCCTGAACATCAGAGTCTTCTTTACTGAGCAGCGGTTGAACGCTGCAACAGGTTGCCCTGATTGGTTGTGGAGCCTCTGTCCTTGGAATAACACCCAGCTGGACGTGTAGCTCTAGGTGCTGCTCCAGGTGACCCTTCTTGAGCATGTGGTTGGACCAGATGGTTCCAGAGGTTCCTGCTAACCTCAACTATTCTACGAGTCAGAATTAAACGTTTCTTCTCTGAAACAAAAATAAAAACCTAAGTGGGAAGCATTTAGTGGAAAGGAATAGGGTACAAGGTGTATTTTCAAAAGCACCAAAGTGACTTGGAGTCTGGTCACATAGGACTGGTGTCCATAGGGAGGATGCCATACGTGCAATCCATCAGCTTACATCTGCCTTCTCCCTCCTTATCACCCCATTGATGATGTTTCCAGCGGGAGGGGATAATTTTGCCACCATTGTCACTCACCCCAATGCATGCCTGGATGCAGGACAACGAGCAGGGAAACCACCAGTAGTCTGGATCTGCACAAAAGGTGCTTTACAGATCTTACTTTCTTAACCCGAAACCAAGAGATATTCTGCAGTTCTCACACATGCCCACAGAGCGAGAATGAAACGTGAAAAGCACAGTCGCATGAGAAACCAACCCTGATGGGTCTCGGGATATCTTGGTTTAATTTTTTCATCTGCCCTGGAAATTGTCTATGTCCCAATTCCCATGTGCCTCCATTCCCCCTAATGGAACTGCGATCGCTTTTAGGAGAGGTCGTCTCTTGGCGATTAGGAACCCTGAGCAGGAACAGTGTCAACTCTGAGAGGAGGATTCTAAATACTCCCAGCCTACAAGTAGCAGGATTTTTTAAAAGGCCCCTCAAGCATCTGCTTCACACAATGAAAGGAAAATCAGCAATAAATTTAATCCAAATCAAACATTTAGAAGAGAACTTAAAACCACTGGAGCTTAAAAGTGCATGTTAATGATTCCCTGTCAGTCAGAATCAGCCTTAAAAAAAAAAAAAGCCATCCTTGACATTTAGATCTTTTCATGGAAAGAACAACAAACACTCCAATACCTAATGAGCATAAGCCAAATCCGGATTACTGCCGCTGGCCAGGGAAATATTTGCATTATGGAATCTATCCACACAAAGATCCTTTGGAGGATTTAGAGGTTTTACAGTTTCTTTTTTTATTTTTTTTTAATGATAAAAAAAATTAGGGGGTTGGACTAGATGATCTCTAGAGGTCCCTTCCAACCCTAAGCATTCTATGATTCTATGATAATATCAGCACTTTTGGCAGGACAGAATTAGGCAAGCAGGCAAACAAAAAGTGAGCAAACGTGGCTGAGCTCACGATCAACAGCAGCATTAGGAAAATACTTTTGTCCCAGAAAAAGGTTGACTTTTTCTCTCTTTCCAGATCGTCCTATCTGCCCATCTCTCCCTCAAATGGTCCAACGTTATCAGACACAGCCACAAATTCATCCCTTGGCTCCTTCCGTGTAGATGTGCGGACGGGAAGGGGTTCTCCCATCCCTCATGCAAGCACCCCAACAAACTTTGGGCAAGCGGAAAGCAGGAAGGCTGCGAAAGGAGGGGATGCCTGGGAGGCAGCCCGGATCCCGCAACGTTGGCCAAATCGCCCATGGGTAGGTGGAGAAAAAGGGCAGCCCCTCACTTTATGGCTCTTTCTTTAGGCTATTTTTGTGTTTGCAGGGACGTGCTCCGTTTGCGTGTTCCCGTCCTAGCTGCAGGGCTCTCATGGCAAAGGGAAACCGGCCGCTCTTCGTGGAGGATGTTGGCACCTTCCCCCACGTCCTGCCCTCCGGGATCCAACGCTGATAAAGCAACATGCTCAGCTGTGTAAGCGGGTGGGAGGAGAGCCAGCCCCAGGGGGTTGGGATAAATAGGAGCGCTCCGGTACGCGTGGCTCCAAAGCGGCTTCCATTTGTCTTCCAGGTTAATATCTGAGCGGGCATCTCCAGAATGAGACCGGCCCTGCTGCTGGTGCTGGTCACCCTGGCGGTTTTCTGCCACTCGGGTAAGTTCTGCTAACCCACCCCTCTGCTAACAAACCTTCGAGACTCAGCCACAGTGATTTCTGGTCAAGAGGCCCTTATTTCCCATTCTTTTTCATTTGCTCTTCATCTCCACCTCATGTGCACCCGTTGAACCTTTGGGAGGTTTTGACTGCAGGAAGGTGGTCGGATGCATTGCGGCTCTGGCCAGGATGAACTGCAATGGAAACATGAACTTGGCAACTAGAATTTTTAAGGAGCGTTTTAGTGAATTGAGGGGGCTGCAAAAGGGTATTTACCATCAGAAAGTTGCTCCCCAAAGTAGTGGAGGGGGGAAAAATAAAGGAGATTTTTCATTTCAATTCTAGGAATTAAAAATAAAAGCAAGACACCAGAGAATTCTGCGGAATGAGCCCCTCCACTACTTTGGGGAGCAACTAGATCTCAAAAATACAGAGCAAGACACTCGGCGACTTTCAAAATGAAGCATTCAATTAACAAATCTTACATAAGGCGGGGGTGCTTTCCGCTCTCAAGCTATTTGCTATGCTTGCCCATCATCCCATCGCTTCTCCCCTAAATACAGAGCTGCATTTTAAATCAGCAGCGCCAAAAAACCTTCCCGGGAAATTCCGCAACACAGACAACTTTAGAGTTAGCTGTGCAGGGATGGCACCAATGAGGATTTTGGACAAGCTCAAGAACTCCAGTTGTCCTCACTATGAGGCCAGCCCAGCTGCTGTAAATCCTCGACCTGTAAAATAAAGTCACAATAATTACTTTGATTTTGTTAAAGATATTTAAACTAGTTTGCTACAATGCAGCATCACCCGGCTGGATCTTTTCTGCTTTTATTCCAGCTAAAGCTTTGTCTTGTCCTCTGATCGAGTCTGTGGTCACCGAGTTTATCTATGGGTCCGTGGAGGAGTACTTGGAGACCGTGGCTCCGTACACCACGGATCCCATCATGGCAGATGCCCAACGCCAGCTAAAGCAATGCATCGACAACTTGGTCGAAAACAAGCATATCCTTGCCTTTTTACTGGTAAGTTCTCCTCATGTTGAAAGGCTTAAATCGAGTTCAACACAGGAGGACAGTGGGTGAAAGGAGCTGCGAGTGGCTCAAGCTGAGCCTAGTATCCTAGTTGGATAAGGATAGGATGGTGGTGCCTACGTTGCAGAGGAAAGACTCATAAATACAAGACTTTAAACACCTTGTCAAGCGTCAGCCAAACATGAGAGCAATGAGGAAGCTTTCAATATAATAGGAATAATATAAAAATAGTGCTCATATTTTTGTTCTTCTTGTAAACTTTGTTCTAAATCTTTGTTTCAGAGTCAGGTGCTTAGAGACTGCTAAAGGCACCATGGTTCTCAGGATCTCCTATGCTTATTGAGTCAGGAGGACATTAAACATGAACTGCCACCTGCCGACAGCAAGGAACTCCCTGCTGAATATCTTCATTTTCTTCTACTCTCCAAGTAGTGACCAAGCACTATGAGTTATCTCCCACCCGGCTATGATGTTTTCCTGCTGCTTCTACTTTCTGTGTCAATAAACTAACCGCAATTCAGCATTACATTCTGTTCAGCTTGAAGACAGTCTTTGCTTTCAGAAGTGAGGTAGCCAAATCATTTCAGAAATGCTGTAGTCAAGGAGTAATCCTGAATATGAGGAAAAAACTTCTTTAACGTGAGGGTGACAGAGCGCTGGAACAGGGGGCTCAGAGGATAGTGGGTCTCCTTCTCTGGAGATGTTCAAAACAGGCCTGGATGCAATCCCGTGCCAGGGGCTCTACATGAGGCTACTTGAGCGGCAGGGTTGGCTTAGACCCTCTCCAGAGGTGCCTCCCCAACCTCAGCCCTCCCATACGTTCTAATGTACAGGCAGGGTAAGGATATGAGGCGCTGATGGGTTTTAGGAGCTTCAGGGCAGCCTTTGCCCATGCGGACCCTGCAGGCGGCTGCTCAAGGCTGCTGAGGGCTGTGCTAACGGGCTCCCCGGCTGTATTGGAGATGGAAATTTCTGTGATCTGTAGATTCATAACAATCTCCTATGGGAAGCAGAGGCCAGACCTTGAGGAAAAGATATTGTGCTGCCTAGGCTGAGTGATAAGGAGCACGGACACGGCTGCTCAGCCTGGTTCACAGGCAGCCCCCCTGGAAACCTGTTGAAGCCGGCCGCTTGGCTGGGCTTGTAGCCAACTTAACCGCAGACGTCCTCCAAACTAGCTTTGGAGGCCAAACAGCTGGAAATGAGGAAGAAGAGGAGGAAGGCAGGACCCTCGAACCGAGGGCTGGGACCCTCGACTGGCATGCGCGCCTGCGCACCCAGGGGGGAGAGTTGCCCAACTCAAGGCAGAGTTTGTCCCCGGGCTGCCTCCTGGGTCGGACTGACCCTGCGTGCCAGGATGCACCGGGCATAGAGAGGACAGTGCGGGGAGAAACTCCTAACTCAGCCTGCGCTGTCTCCGTGGGAGCCAGTCAGCAACTCTCTCTCTCTGGTCTGCCAGCTCGAGAGGATGTTCAGGCCCAGATCGGCAGGTATCCCCTCGTGAGTAGCTATCCAAACTTTGCTTCTTTAATGTGCTTTCACCTGAACAAATGCTCGATGTAGTCACCTCGTTCTGTGCGATTATTGCCGAAGCCCGAGCCCACCCGCCACACCAGCAGGCACGGAGCGTGGCCGGGCTCTAGAACGGCCTGTGTGATGCAACGCGCACGTTTCCATGGCTGTGGCGTGTTCCCCACCGCGGAGCGGCATCGGAAGCCGCTGCCAGCCTCACCCGGCTTCCGGCCGCCCTCACACCTCGCCGCGGTTGGCGACCGAAAGCAGGGAGAGCGGCAGCACATGCGGGTATCCCCATCCAGGTAGGCTTCGTGGGACCACCGAGGTGAATTGTTTATGATCTATTTTAGGATAAGTCATTACATATGTGCTATTAGCTACACCTGAGAGCAGTTTCATCACTACGGTCAAAGGGTTCCTCTAATGGAAATTATTTCAGAGCGTTCTTTCTTGGCAGCACGAACTCACGCTGTGGCAGTTGCCCTCCTCTCTCCCTCTTCTAGGGGCACAGCCAGCTTACAAGGTGCACAGGGCAGATCAGTAACCAGATCTGAGAAAAGCACCATTCAAACAGCCTTTAGGTGCCTCCCTCTCCACCACCGGGAAGGAAAAACACTATACAAAAAATACAGCCTCATGCACACGTTCAGGAATTGGCCTACAGCGGAATAAGAAAGAACAGTGACTGTAGGACAGAAGCACAAGTTGTGCAGGGGAAATGCAGGTTTTCTAGGGATGCTCACTCAAAACTGAAAAGCTGCCTTCAAGCACCTGCAGATGTTGCAGATCATCAATATTTTATTATAGGACAGAACTCAGAGGATCCAGGACCAGGCCGAGATTTTTTAACCCTCATGCAAAAGAAGAAATAAAATCTTCCTCTTTCTTTTTAATCCCGTTTCTGATTCTTTTCCTCTTTCCTTAGGCTTTGCTGCCAGCTCCCACCATGTATCGAGCCTGGGTGGGGACATGGAAACCCCATCGCCCGCGGGGCCCCGTAATGGCCCAGTTCACTGGCCCGGGACCCAAGTACTCAATCCCAGGGACAACAGGTAAAGCAGCTGGAAAGTCACGCAGCGCTTAGAGTGAATTAACGGTAACAGCAGCTAAAAAACAATTTCAGCAGCTTCATGCCTTTGCTGACTCATTACAGCACAGAAAGGATGGCTAAGGACATAATTAACCGTGTATCCCCCTTGCATGTGAAATGATGCAAAGACATTCAAAGCATGAAACTCGTTTTGTATTTTTGTCATCCTTTCCTGTTGCTCCAGCCTCATCTTTTTCTTATTTATTTCATGATATCATTAAAAATTTAACATGTTGGCTAAATATCACAGAAGTAATTTTAACAACACACAATTTAAAAGGGGTTTATCCCTGCAGTATTTTGTTATTTCTTCAGGACGACCCCTTTCCATTTCATTTATAAAGCTGCCCCTTGCTGCAGCTAGAGAGCTGCTGTTTTCATATCAGTAAAAGCAACTGAAAGGGCAGCATTTGCTGGTGATATTCCTGTTCAGGCTCGCGGAAGAGCAAAAAAATCACCCAAGTGCTCTTTACATTTCCTTTAAGCTAGCTTGGCAACTGCTTATGGAGTAAAAATAGTTTGTAATGACGGCATTTTTTGCAATTAATTACCGAGTGTCTACATTTTTGTGTTGGATAGGTTCTTTTTTTATAGCTGCTTTGAACCATGCGGGCAGGGGATATGTATTTTTTAAAGACTATTTAAGCAATGCAGTGTCAAAACCGTTTCTGCTAGGAGCCACCCTCCTCTGCACCACCAGGCGCCATACAGCTCTCCTCCCTTATACTGTGAGGGAAAAGCCACACACAGAGACACTTTGGAGCTTTGTCTATTTGGGGAACGCTCCCGAGGAGCTGTTTGGGGTAACGCTGCCTCCGTGGCTCTCCAGAAAGAGGACAAGCCCTAGAGCCCCGTTAAGAGAACGGGGCAGGAGAACCCTGGTGGGCACCGGTGCAAAGGCACCCCAATACCCTGGAAGGGAATTTCAGAGCTCCAACTGCTCCGGTTACAAAGAGCTTACAAGCTAATTGCACAAAGGTCTCCTTTCCCATGTGTTTTCCTCCTAGGTTACCTGAAACATGACCCCACCAAAAAGCAAGCCCCTGCCTACTCATTCAGCGGGGCGAAACCTCCCGTGAAAGAGGGCTGCTCTCCAGGCCCTTGCTACTACGTGGAGCCCTCCGTGACCAAGACGGGCAAGTACGTTGCTCCAGGATATGTTATGAGCGGCCGTCCCAAGGTGACCGTGGAGGTCACGCCGGGGCCCGGTGAGTGACAGTTCTCCAGTCGTTCCTTCGCGCAAGGCAAACAGGCCTCCCCGTCGCGCCGGGGCTGCAGGGTGCGAAGCCACCACGCGTGCGCCTCGCATGAGCTTTGGGTGCTTTCAAACAGAAAACACAACGAGAAGTGGCAATTTAGCAGCTGTTATGAAAAGCACCTGCTAGCAAACTGCCTGTTTTGCCTTCGAGAAGCCAGAGCTTCACGGCTTTTGTCCTCTTCTCCCCTGCCCTAGGAGACTATTTCCTGGAGAAGTCAAAGAAACACATCTATAAATGTGCTCCTGCACACTCCATGTCCTTCAGGCCCAACATGGCCAGCGTGGACATCACTCCAGGTAAGCGAACGAGGGCCAAGACGCACTCGTAAACTAAGCGTCCTCCAGTAAAAACCCCTTGTTCGACTTGTTAAACCAGGTAATCCAGTGTCTCCACAACAGGATGTGACCGTTGGTTCATGAGCTTTATTTCATCCTGGTCGCTCTGTAATTCCAACAGTGTTTCCACTGTTGCTTCGAAGAAGGATGCAACCGAAGCTTTTGCATTGTAGCAGGCCTTGGTCTGCAAAGGCAAAGCAAAAGCCTTGCTAGGCAAATGCCAGAACGAAGGGCGTCTGCAAAGAGTTTGTAGCCTAACCATAAGACAAAAGACGAGTAGGACATCCCTCCTGTTCCTCCGACTTCAATGTTTCTCCTGTCCCCTGAGGATTCACATGTCTCTCTTCCCATCCCTTCCGCAGGCCCTGGTGACTACACAATCCCGAGGGTGCTGGGACCGAACACAGCCTACACAACTGCCAGCCCGTGCTATTCCATGAGGTGGAGAACTAAATTTGGTCTCTTTGAGGAAGACCTCTGTAAAGTGAGCTACGTTTTGACTTTTTTGTTCTTTTTTGTTCTGACGATGCAAAGCTCCTCCAGGCTTTAGATTAAGCCCTAGTCTTTGAACTTGAATTCGCAACTGGGAGTGGTGATAATGAGGGTGGAGGAAGAAAAGAATATCCTCAAAGCAGTTACTGAAAGTCATTTCAAGCAGAAAACCAAACCTGTTATCACAGGTATCCGCTCTGAGCTCCTCAGGAACAGGGCCAGGGGCAATATGAACACACAAACAAAATTGCTGCCCACGCTGCAACAAATTTGCAAGGGAAATAGCTGCAGTGCTAAGAGTTATTGCTAGCGTTAGGAGTTATTGCTAGCACGCTCAGTAGGAAGGCTGCAAACTCCAGCTGGCTTGTCCTTACCAAATAACTTACTGAAATATCTAAAGGGAATGAAATCTTTGGTCAAAATATGAAGTACGTTCATGGCACAGAACATGAGCTGAAACACCGCAGGGTTTTTTTGTTTGCTTGTTTTTGGTACGTGGCAAACACTCCCATTTCAGATATCACTGCACATCAAGCGCTGGCAAAGCTCTGCGGGAAGGCCTGGATGAAACACAGGGTTAATGTGCCGGGAGGAAGAAGGGGATTGGTGTTATGCAAACTCGGCCTCCACAGAAACAGTTTCTCGAGATAAAATACAACAAGGCTGTCAGAACCGCTGCGCTAATAAGCATAGCCCATAGCCAGTAATACGCTAGCAGGGAGCTATATTGGTTTTGGGAGATTTGGAATACACCACCACCATGCAAAACACTTATATTGATAGAGGATTTAAAAAAAAAAAAAGGGTATTATATAAAGCCTATTTGAAACAAAATCCTTTAATTGCAAGCCTTATGTAACATGCAGCAGAGATGCTGGGTTCCTGGTGCTCTGCTGCTGCACATTTTACCTCCCATCTCTCTAAGCGACAGGCCCATTTGCAATCTGGCAGCACGAGGAGGCTCGGCGAACAGATGCAAACAGAGTCTCCTACAGGTAACAGCTGCTGAAACGAATATTGAAATATTGAAACGAAATGTTGAAACCGTCTTCTTCGGAGGAAACCAGAGTTCTTTGTTGTCCGTATCGCCCGCTGTTGCGGCCCCGTTTCCTTGTCCAGTTAGGTGGAGTAAAGGAGCCCTCCTGGGAAGCCAGGAGGAACAAAAAGCTGCCAGTTTTATCCAACGGCTCTGCTGACTCTCTTGCAGACTCCAGGGCCTGCTGCGTACCGGAAGACAGAACTGGATGTGTATAAACCGAGAGCTCCCAAGTACACTATGAGAACCCAAAACAAACCTATAGGAGACAAAACTGTAAAACCAGGGCCTGCAGACTACTGCATAGGAAAGGTAAGGCACGTGGCCACGCTCTCCTTTTCAACAACCACCCTTCAATGATCTCCCCCTCTGCTAGGGCTTTTGAGAACTAACAGTATCACAAACTGCAGGATTGTCTTGTGCTAAACAACCCCGACTGGCAAGCCTCTTTTTACTGATTTTTTGATGCTAGAAAGGGAGAACTGGTATCAGTGGGAAGGGTTAGATCCTTCACACACTCTCATGCACTGACTTTAGAACTAGCAAATATTTTATCAGTCAGCAGGGAAGCACTGCTATTAGTTGTGCATTGCTGTTAGCAGCGATTTTGGAGCTGGTCAATGTTAAACATTAAGTACATTCACTATGAATTTGAATTCTTAAATTTAATCACAAAAAAAAAAAGCTGACAGACTTCCAATCTACGCACCCAGTGCTGTTTCATCACGCACATGTACTTCATGCAATGTAGCAGACACACACTTGGAGGTGAGGCTTATCTGGTAGGGCTCTGCTTGAGCTGGAAATCCTCTGGCATTTGAGGAAGTTCTTTTTCTGGAACTTTCCATATCAACTGTAATGATAATTTTGGTCACTTTTGTGTGGAAAACGAGACCTTTGGTTTCAGTGTCCTTAAAACCTAGGGAACATATTTTAACTATCCCTAAACTATTTTTCTTTTTTTCTTCATGTTACTCTACCAAAAGAGAAAGAAATGTCAAGTGCTGATAGCAACTGAGCATTTTATAGCAGAAGGACATTTATAATGGTGTGCTAAAAATGAGGTTTAAATTAAGTGCTTCTAGACAAGACATAGCTAGCTAGAAACCTAATGAGGCACATCCACCAACATGTAATAAAGGGCAAAAATGGCACAAATACATTTTCCAATGACAGATGGTCATCACTGAACAAAAATGTGTTCTGCCCAGGCTAGAAACCAGCCTTTAGAAAGAGCAAGACTATGTGTTTTAAGTAAAAATACCTCTCTCGCAGTCTACCATTTATCACTAAAACCAGCTCCTGCTAGATGGAGCTTCACAGGGTTGTCACTGCGCCTCGGGACAGGTCCAGGGCAGCGGTGGCCTTCATCACTCACCCTTCCCCGCCTTGCAGGTGACGCTGACGAAGCCGCAAGCCCCCGCGATCACCTTCGGCATCCGGCATTCGAAGTACACGGCCCCCCTGATCCTGGACAGCTGAGCACCGCCGCGCTCGTGAGCTGCCGCAGCGCGGCGCGCTTTGAGAGCAGCGGGAGGATTTAGGACAGCTTCCCTCGGGCGGCAATCGTCCATCTTCTGCGCGCCGCGGAATAACCAAGAGCGCGCGAAGTCAGCAAGCGGCTGCCCGGGCTGCTGCGCTGCGTCCCGTTGCTACCGAAGGACTTTTTGCGTTTTTGCTACCACTCGAGCCGAAGACGGCGCGATCGTGCCCTCGCGAACGAATCTGACACGCGGAGGAATGCAAGTGCTTGCGCCTGGATCCTGCTGGCTGCAGGATCATCGCCGCAACCCACACGTCAAAGTCTTTCCATTTCCCACTGGTAAGATAAGCTTTGGGGTTTGTGTCCAGATTTGCAGTGATTTCAGCTGCCTTTTTTTTTTTTTCTTTCCTAGCATATTAATTGTAGCATTAGCTTCTGGGGAAAAAAAAAAGAAAAATAAGAGTTATTCCTTATATGACAGGTCACTGTAAGCGAATTTGGTGACCTGCCTTTAGGTGGCACTCCGGAACAGTATTTAAAAGAACCCAGTTTGGAGTGCAATTCAAATTCCTGGTTTGCTGTAACTTTAGTAAAACAAAATACCACCTCCTCCTCAAACTTTGTTTTTGCACCTTAAGCAGCAGGGAAAGAAATAGCCTGTTTTCCCCTGTCCAAGTCTCATGCCTCGACCAAACATTGCTATATTACAACTGAAAAAGGGCAGTGAAATCAAAAGCGTAACCAACATTAGATACCTCTAGCAGCACATTTTCACCTGACAGCAATTAAAAAAAAAGGCTTAAGATCCAAATTCCTTACCCCAGTGCTGCCCTTCATTTTCTCTTTTAATGGCTGTGCCTAAAAGTCACGGTTAAGCCCCCAGATTACTTGCATTTAAGGACAAAATAATGAAGCCAGTAACAACTGGAATCCTTTCGGTCTGAGAAAACGCACTATTTGTGATTTCATTTGCAATAGCATGTTTTTAAATAAAATATGAAGTGCGTAACTGCATGCTCTGTTGCACAGTAACATTTGTAATCGGGTTGCTGGGCTCGCAATAGCTCCGGGATCTTCTTTGACTTGAGAATCGGGAAACGGGGAGAAAAGGGGCCTCCTCTCCCAACGCACTTGCCCTGAAGCCGCTCGCGCAGGGCTGGTGCCTTCGTGAGCCCTTCCCTTCATGCAGGGTGCTCGGAGGTGTGCGGCACGGGAGAGCGGAGACAGCCAGCAAACGCTGGTCAGGAATTCTATTCTGAGCATTTAATTGCCATGAATCTTAAAGCCAGGATTGTTTCATCACAAGCTAAGGAGATCAACAGCCTCGCACCGAGAGAAGCCCTGAAGAAACAGACTTGCCTGCAGCAAAAACCTTTAGGAGACATATTCACAGCAGCGACAAACTCACAAACTGAGTTCCCTCATTTCACATATGCTCTGGGAAAGGCTGTTTGGGGGTATTCAGAGAGTTTTTAACAGCCTCTCACGTTGTATTTATCCCCTTTGTTAGCTGTCATGTTTAAAAAACTCAATACATTTGACAAAAATGAAACAACCCACAGACTTCCACGGGCACCCCTGTGACAGACAGCGCATCTTGGGCTCATCAAAAGGGGGCATTTGGCATCTGAGAGGTTCAAGCACTTTTGGTTTCAACCGTTCGGTTAAATCTCCGGAGGTTTTCCCCCTGCAGAGTTTAACTCTCCCGAGGTTTTCCCACTGCTTCTGAGGTAGCGCGGCTTTGCTCGCATCTCCGCAGTTTGTGACAGACAGACGGTTTCACGGAATTCCAGGAGGGCTGAGGTTGGAAGGGGCCTCCAGGGATCACCTAGTCCAACCCTCCTGCTCGAGCAGGGACGCCAGGAGCATATGGCACAGGGTCTCATGTGATAACATTGTATTTGGTTCTGAGGCAGCCGGTTCCGTACAATTTATATATCATGGAGTTATCCACCCGTTTTTTAATCTTACTAAGACATAAGCACATGGGAAAAACAAACACACACACACACAAAGAAACCACTTGGCCAAAATATTCTAAAAACTGTTTTATTTACAACATAAAAGGCAAACCAAAACCATCGCTGCCAGACCAGGCTATTCTGGAAGCCTTTTAGCAGAAGCGATCCACTTCCGAAAAATCCAGAGAGAGCCCGGTGATACAACCATCGTTCTTCCAAGTGTAAAGAGAGTCTGGAATTGCCACATCTTGCCAGAGAAGTACAAACAAGAACCAGAGAGAGTCGCTGTTGCCTCCTTTCCTACTTACCTTCACTACACCTTCTTCTCCAAACTCAGAAAAAAAGGACACACGATTGAACTATGGAGCTACTTTATTAAATGTTTGGTGCATTTTAAGCAGGGAAGAGCACAGGCTGTTTGGCTTTAGACCCAGCTTAGTCCGAGCAAGAGGGAATTCCTAAAGACACAATGTGAAGGCCAAATAAAACACATAGGGATTGATGAATATAGACCTGTTAGATAGATGGGCTGTGAAAGAGGAGAAAAACTTTAGTCCTGGAGAGGTAGTTGTTACAGGAGGATAATGGAATACCACTGCAGTACAGGGATATGGTAATAAGTACAATGAACTGCACAAAGGCTGAAGCATGTAATCTTAAAAAGACTGGAGGGGACACTGATAGGAGAGTGTTTAGACACTCTTAAAACAGTCTAGGGGAGTGTATTTTCAAGTGTGTGGGAAGATACTATACACGTGCAAATAATGGCAACTTATGGGCTAAGGACAACTTTGGCCCTTCTTTTCCTGCAGTGTCCACACTCAACTTCACCTAGAAGGATAATAAATAAAGCCAAGCTATCACTCAAAGTCTTGCTCCTCTGAAGCAATTACAGTGCACCAGGGTCCAGATCTAGAGCTGATTTAATTTCAAAGCTGTAGAAATTTAATTCCAATCCAGTAACATCAAGGTTATTAACATGGCTCCAAGTCAAACTGAGAGTGTGTATGACTTCCAAGTGGCTAAGCGGGAATAGAAGCCCCAAGTTTGTACCTCCAAATCTCATAAAACAGCAGTCCTAAAATCTGCAGCGTCCGAACTTCTGCTTGCCAAACTTTTGTGCACAGAGTCTCTGGATTTTGCCTGACACAACTCTTCCCAAGTTTAGCGGGGAATACCAGTAATGCAGGCAACACAAAGGTGTCCACTGAAAATAGGCTGAAGGACATGGACAACAAGGCAAGAGATGAAAGTTTAGGTATTAACAACATCAAAGTCATTTTACATGTGAAAGTCAGTTTAGAATGAAACATAATCATTTTATAGAGACAGCCCAAGAGCAGCCCAATCAATGACAGTAAGCTGGGGAACCGAAAAGTTATTTGGACTGCTTGGAATGTCTCAAAGACTCCACAACAGGGCAGAATGAAAAAGGCTTTCAATAAGTCCATTGAACAACACATGATTTTTGGTCTGTAAAATTTCTGGCACGAAAACCATGCTCAAGTGCCTGCTTTTGACACGAGATAGTAGAGGACGAAGAAGACGACAACCAGTCCTGCAGAAACGTAGCAGAGCAACTTGCGATTCTCCCTCCCTGACCGGGCCATGGTGGAGAACCGCTTCACGCTGCCGGTCAGCAGGCCAGTCACACTCATAAAATCTGAATCCTAAAGAAGAAAGAAAGGTAAAAAGGAGACATTATTCCTGAAGAATTCCTCTGAGAGATTAAAAAGCATTTGAATAGGCAGCAGCACAGTAATGGCCTCTCTCTCCATAGCCCCCATCAAATTTCTCTCAGAAAGTGCTTCCACTCCTGCGCTCCGACTCCAGCAAGGTCACCAGTAACCCCGAGTTTCAGTAACGGTGAGCATCTCCGACAGATTTATACATCACCAAAAAAATCAGAGAAGAGGGCCACAGGAGAATAGGGCTCCCAGTTAAGAGCTACAGGAGGCAGATCTTTAACCCCAGTAACTGAGCAATCTCCATCTGTACTGCGCGAGTACCCTGTCCTACACGGGTACAGGGACAGATGCTCCATACCTGGCTGTGCTGTCCATTCAAAGCAGTATTAGCAGCTGCTAGGTATTTAACATTTACTCATCAATAAACCCACAGAAAATGCGTTTAGTTTATTATGTGGTTTTCCAAGCCGACCACCGAAAACTTAACTTCTTCTCCTTTACTGAACCACTATTAACTTTCACCATAAGGTAACTGCTTGAGATCTAGCACCAGAAATGTTAAAATGTTTCATCACTTTCTTACCATGCCATCCAGATAATGGTTCTGCTCGTCAGCATCTTTGTCAATATCCAAGGCCAGCTATACAGGACAAGCGGGAAACAAGTATTAATGAACTTTTAACAGGGAGACAACCTCTAACGTACATAAAACTGGAATATTTGGAAAAGCAGACGGGCTTTGTGCCTAAAGCTCTTTGAATGCCACCAAAAACACATCTTTGCTATTGCACATCATGATACAGCTGAACCTCAAAAAGAAAGGAAGGATTCATAAAGCAGTCCCAAGCACTTCCGCAGAAAAACCCAACAACAGCCCACTACAGCAGTCTCTAGAAGGAGGTTATAAATAGAAAGCCCTCTGTAAACAGCCAGCGGCGTGTGTCTCCCACAAGACAGTGTGAGAAAGATGGATGCACATAACTGAAGATGAACTTTGTTTACTGCAGCTCCCCACGGGAGCTCGGCAACTCACCGATTTCAGCCTGGTGACTTTGCTGGCGAGACTGTCTGCCATGCGCTTGTTCTCAGCATCCAACACATCCTCCACGGCGCTCGGGCTCTGGCCTGGGACGAAGAGGAGAAGGCGTCACGTCGGTGTCACATATCGGCAGCAGCACTTTTGCTTACTGTGCACGGAGAGCTGGCAGCAGCACGGGGGTTGTGTCAGCCACCCCCGGCGGGAACAGCCACCGCTGCCACCCAAAGGTGCCGCTTCCCACCTTTGCCGTGACAGGGCCCTTGCCAAACCCTGCAGTGCAGCAGCTTCAACACCCCAAAGCCGCTCTTCGTAAAGCTCCAAGACACCAGGACAGACCTCAACGCTGTCATTTGGCAACGCGCTCTGACCACACTCTCCCTCCGCCGTGTTGTCATTTGGGTGAAGCCAAACAAACTTGGGACAAACCCCCATGGCAGTGCATTTCTGCCCAGGGTGCTTTCTTGGTCAATGGGGGAAAAAGGCACCTTTTACCCTGCCCCAAGGCAGTACCCCGCCGTACACCCTTTCACGTTTTTGCTGGCTTTACTACCCCGAAACACCTCCCGCGTCGTTCCCCTGGCACCGGGACCCCCACGAGACCGGGAGTTACACGATCCTCTACGCCAAAGTTTCAAGGGGGCAAAAGCATCCGCGGAGCCCTAGCTGGGCCGCCCCGTCCCCCCAGGCTCTGAGGCAGCGGCAGCGCCTCCCTAACATCGAAACGGCGGCGCACCGCACCACACATAGCGACGAGGGGAAAGAGGGAGGGA